TACTTGGAAATTGCCTATCATATCTACTAGATAGCGGGTATTAGATGTACGTCAATGTAGATAAGTTTAGGAGAAAGTAATTTTGCTGTTAAAAGAAATACGTTTGCAGGAAGTCTGCTGATAGTGTATTTAATGTAAAAGACGTGTACGTTGGTTAAAGTCAAAATCGCTGGATTGGATAACACGGCGCAGCAACGGTCAAAATTACTGAAACGGGTGCGGTCTGGGGCGAGTGAGGAAGAACTGGCCGACCGGATAGGTTTTTGGGGGGAGTTTTCGCCAGGTGATGGGCTCCTGTTTTCGCTAAAAACTTACCACTGCTTTGCATAATCATATAGACTAGAATGATCTGGATGGACAGTTCTGATTAATAGTGGATTCCTCTTCACGAATCTACTGGTCTACTGGATGCTGATGTGCACCCCTAGTTTTGCAGCACAACAAGAATCTGCAGTGCGAGTAAATAAAAATATTAGCGTTATGAAAGCGTCAATGACGCATATAAAGTTTCAAAAAAGGAAATATTTTTGATATTAGCAAACGTCCACATCAAGTCTAACATCGTCCTGGTTTCAGTATTTCCCATGGGCGGATTTGGCGGTTGGCCGAGTGTACCCGCCCTCCCCAACCCCTTTAATGTGAAATTTTGTATTATTTTCTAAGAATCTCAAAATAGCTGGCAAGCGTCCCGGCCGCCCCTTTCTGAATTTTCTGGATCCGTCCCTGTTTCCTAGCTAGCGGAAGCTGTATTAAAAGACGAGTCTATCAAATTACGTCATCTCAGGGTTCAGTTTGCGTTTACCTGTTTCTGGCTTTCATATTCATGCAAAAAAAGCGGAAATAAGATGGAGAGCGATATTAAGCCAGCAACTTGAAATTTCATCGACGAAAGGCGGAAATGATGGAACACGAAACAGTGTAGAACTGGGGCATGTTATCACCAGTGGCCTTCGAATACAGCCGTCTCTCTTCGCTCGTTGCCAAGGAATATAGAAACAGAATAATTCAAAAAACTCACTATTCATTCAAAATATTCACCCGTTTGTAAACCCCCCAGCTAATTCTGCAAGCGACGACCAAATCTGGAAGAAGTTTGTCGACACCAATACAATTGACGTCAACTGTACAGTTATTAACAGAAAGAAGAGACAACAGGAGGCATGGTAACTCAGTGATTTTGACCAAATTTGGAAGAAAAAAGCCGATATCAATACAATTGACGTCAATTATACAGTTATTCGCCACTTGCACATCTCCCATAATGCAACTTATTTGCCCCCCAAATTTTGCATAATCATTGTTTTCAATTTCTCTTGGGACGGCTGTAATACCCAGGAGAGATGAAAAACAAAGGTTATGCAAAATTTTGAGGGGCAAATAAGGTGCATTATGAGAAATGTATAAATAAAAATTGAATTATAATTCCACTGTGGAAAGAGGTTTAACATGAAATTGCTCTTCGCTCCTTTAGTGCTTTCCAATATAGTTCAAGCCTTCAAACAAGCTCCCGGAAGAAGAGTGAGATTCTTCGTTTTTCCGCGCGTCACTCCTGTGCCAAAACCGCCGCGCTACCATGCGTTTTGGCGTCCTCTTAATAACTTGATATATTAAAATTCATACTTGGCTCCGAGGCTTGGGGGAATAAATAAAAAAAATGTATTATTCATTGTCGAGCCTCAAGCCTCGCAACCAAGTATGAATTCTGATATATCGGATTTGGTCTATTTGGTCAAAACCGCTTAGCTACCATGCCTTCTGCTGGTAATGGTTGTCATGAAAGTAAGAATTCATTGAACTGCTCCCAAACAAATTGCGATAAGATTAATACGCATTGGTATCTTGATTTTACATCCAAATATTGTTCCACTCTGTTCTCTGTAAAGTTGTTCAAGTACTATTGGAATCATAATACAGCAACAGAATTCCACGAGTAACAGGTCTATAATCGATATATCTAGTAGTTCCAGCTTCAAAAATTTAACATCTAATTTCAACCTTGATGTTTCCTTCACAAATAAGAAATTTCAAAGCTCTCAGTCATAAACTGATAAATGCAATAAATACTATTCAATAAATTAACCATGCTTGTTAAACTATTTTCCCTTGTACAATAATTATATTATTTTCTCCTAATCTGATGGTACTTTTCTGTAAGCAACCCGCCTTTACGCGTGTTTACGTCAGACGAGCAAATTTCACCACCAAGCCTTGTTTGTGAACAAAATTCTTTGCATTTGCATTCTTTGTGCATGAGTATTCTTTTCAAAACAATTATCGTGGGGATTCATTTACTTAAAACGTTGCAAATTAGAATTCTCAATATGAGGCTTGGTGGTGAAATTTGCCCGTCTTCTAGTAAACATGCGTAAGTGTTTTGAACTATCGAATGAATTAAGTAGAAAAGTGTTTGCCATTTTCACATCGCCCATAACACACCTCATTTAGGGCCTGTTTACATGGAGGTGGGGGACCCCAGGTAGGTGAGGTAGCACGCTTAGGTGGGGTAACCCACCTGTCCTTATAATCTCTTATAAGGTCACCCCACCTATCATGTAAACGTGATCAAATTAAAATGAGAGGTTATATGGACAGGTGGGTTACCCCACATAAGCAGGTTACCTCACCTACCTGGGGTCCCCACTTCCATGTAATCAGGCCCTTACCCGCAAAATTTTGCATTAATGTTGTCTTCAATTCTCTTGGGACAACTGTAAATAACCAAGATAAATTGAAAACAATGGTTATGTTTTTTTTTTGAGGGGGGGGGG